TTTTTTGTTGCAGTTGTCATTTAGCAGGCCTGAGCTGGGTTCGAACCCATCTGCCTTGGTGTATGCGGATGGCCCCCTAACCACCCACTGAGCTATGGGAACTGAGCCTATGAGCCATCTTTATTCTGCACATTATACCCATAATAATCATGGTCCCTTACATCACATTTTGATTTATAGTTTATAAAATCTCTGCATCTATGCTTTCATTCAGTCCTCATTAGAATCCAAAGAAGCATTCCTTCCAATCTCCATTTTTTGAGTTTCAGCAAGCTGTAGGGGACAGCCAGTCGGTCCACTAGGGAAGTCCATTCTACTCATTACTAGCAATAGGTTTCAAGTTGGTTGTATTTTATTTAATTAATTAATTTATTTTTGAGACAGTTTTTTACTCTGTCAACAAAGGTAGAGTAGCATGGCATCATCATAGCTCATAGCAACCTTGAACTTGTGGACTCAAGCGATCCCCTTGCCTCAGTTTTTCTATTTTTAGTAGAGATGGGGTCTTGCTTTTGCTCAGGCTGGTCCTGAACTCCTGAGCTCAAGCAGTCTACCCACCTTGGCCTCCCAGAGTGCTAGGATTACAGGTGTGAACCATAGCACCTGGCCTAGCTGTGAGTGTTATAAGAGAGTGTGATCTCTTGCCTAAGGTCACACAGTTTGACCCAAACTGAAATCCCATCTTTCAGACTCCACATCTCTACTTTTCCCTGTGCCCTGATTGCTTCACTAGAGGATGACACGATTTCTACCTCCTACTATAATCCTTACATTATAAAGCACTATTGCCCACAGCATTTGATTTGATTTCTCACTGCAACCCCATGAGGTAGTCTGGTCAAGGGCATGACCCAACAATACAGATAGGTAAATAGAGCATAGAGTAAGAAGGAATAAATATGAGATAAATTCAGATAAAGTCAATATTTGTAACCTAGGCAAAGTACATTTGCTGTGTGGAAAGCAAGAAGAATTTTATCCTACAAGTAAGGTTGAGTAAAGATTGCTTCTCTGAGTCAGAGAAGAGCTCTTACTGGAAGAAAGGATAGATTTTCAAGACTGTGGACTGGAGGAAGCTATGGTGTGTTGGTAGGCACGGTACTGCAGTCTTAGAAGAAGGCAGAGAGAAGCAGCAGTTAGGGTGACTTTAAGTCTGAGATTTGGAGTGCCAGTCCCACTTTTCCTCCTGGGAATATAGAATTGAAATGAGACTTCACTTTTCCATTAGTTTGACTTTTTTTTTTTTTCTCTGTTATATGCTCTGTATACTTAGAAGCTGCCTCAAAGGTTTTATAAGGTAAAGTGTAGACAAACAGACTGGATTAGCATAACCACTTCCACTGCCCTTACCCACTCAGCCTTGCCCCTTAATACTCGAAGTTTGAGCCAAGCAAAGTGGAGGCCTTTTCTTTACCTCCTGTGGACTCAACCTTGCTCTATTTGCAGCCTCCTCTCCAGGCCACCCATCTTTCCTTGAAGATGGCAGCCCATCTCCAGTCCTTGCCTTTGCCGCCTCCCCTCGGCCTAATCACAGCTATGTCTTCAAACGGGAGCCCCCAGAGGGCTGTGAGAGAGTGCGTGTGTTTGAAGAGGCCGCGTGAGTACATCAAGTAGATGGGGCATGGGTGGGAGGGACAAGGATAGAGGGTGAGCCCCATGTTATCCCCATTTGACCAGCACTTTAGTCTTGGACTCTCTCATCACAGAGGTGTTGTCAACTTTAGATTATCAGTATTGCAGTTTTTCCGTGATCAAACTTGTTGACATTACCTACTCTGAGCACTTAAATCTTTGCTTATCATTATCTCCATAGAAACCTGCTCTCTGCCCACATGCCAGCCACAAGTGCAGCAGGAGCTGGAAGGGAAAGATATCTGAAACCTAAGCCATTCCTTTCTTCTATTTTTTTTCCATCCCCAGAGAAGGTA